TATCTATCTATCTATCTATCTATCTATCTATCTATCTCAGTCTTTCCACATTCTCCTCTATCTATCTATCTATCTATCTATCTATCTATCTATCTATCTATCCGTTCGTATCTATTTATCTATCTGTTCGTACTTATCTATCTATCTGTTCGTATCTATCTGTTCGTACTTATCTATCTATCTATCTATCTATCTATCTATCTATCTATCTATCTATCTATCTATCTATCTATCTCAGTCTTTCCTCATTCTCTGCTATCTATCTATCTATCCGTTCGTATCTATTTATCTATCTGTTCGTACTTATCTATCTATCTGTTCGTATCTATCTGTTCGTACTTATCTATCTATTTATCTATCTATCTATCTATCTATCTATCTATCTATCTATCTATCTATCTCAGTCTTTCCTCATTCTCATCTATCTATCTATCTATCTATCTATCTATCTATCTATCTATCTATCTATCTATCTATCCGTTCGTATCTATTTATCTATCTGTTCGTACTTATCTGTCTATCAATCTATCTATCTATCTATCTATCTATCTCAGTCTTTCCTCATTCTCTGCTATCTATCTATCTATCTGTTCGTATGTATTTATCTATGTGTTCGTACTTATCTATCTATCTGTTCGTATCTATCTGTTCGTACTTATCTATCTATCTATCTATCTATCTATCTATCTATCTATCTATCTTCCAGTTTATTAGCCAAGTATTTATTTTGGCCAAAATCTTGGCCAGCCAGTCCAATTAAAGGTCATGTTAAAATGTTTTCAATGGATTTGGCGAGGGTGTCTTGAAGTCTTCCTATCGGCGACAAGCCGTCTCCATACATTCGGAAATTCTAACTCTACAAGTTTCCGCCCCTCAAGCAATCATCATATTTCTGTCTATGGACAAACTTCAACGTCTGTTCTTCTCATGATCAAAACCACTGCACGTGAACTCAATGTTGCCAACAGCAACGCGGAAACATTCACCAATCAGCGTAAGGACAGAAAACAGCGAATAAAGAACAGAAATAAGTTGGATCGACAAATATAGGACCGTGTTTGATTTATAAGAAGAAACGATTTTGAAAAGATTCCAGGAATAGGGCTAAGAGATGTACATCGTTTTTCTAAAACAGTGGTTTTCAACCAAGGTTCCGCAGAACCCTAACGTTCCGCCAGTAATGCCCAGGGATTCCGCGGAACCCAATCGATCCGAAAGTAATTCCCAGGGGTTCCGCGGAACCCTATCGTTCCGCCAATAATGACCAGGTCTTCCGCGGAACCCTAACGTTCCGCCAGTAAAGCCCAGGGGTTCCGCGGAACCCTATCATTCAGCCAGTAATGCCCAGTTATTCCGCGGAACCCTATCGTTCCGGCAGTAATTCCCAGGGGTTACACGGAACCTTATCGTTCGGCCAGTAATGCCCAGGTGTTCCGCGGAACCCTATCGTTCCGCCAGTAATGCCATGGGTTCCGCGGAACACTATCGTTCCGCCAATAATGCCCAGAGGTTCCGCGGAACCCTTATCGTGCCGCCAATAATGCCCAAGGTTTCCGTGGAACCCTATCATTCCGCCAGTAAAGCCCAGGGGTTCCGCAGAACCCTATCGTTCCGCCAATAATGACCATGGATTCAGCGGAAACCTATCTTTCCGCCAATAATGCCCAGGGGTTCCGCGGAATCCCTATCGTTCCGCTAATAATGCCCAGGGGTTCCGTGGAAACCTATCGTTCCGCCAGTAATGCGCCGGGGATCCGCGGAACCCTATCATTCCGCCAATAATGACCAGTGGTTCCGCGGAACCCTATCGTTCTGCCAGTAATGCCCAGGGATTCCGCGGAAACCTATCGTTCCGCCAGTAGTGCCCAGGTGTTCCGCGGAACACTATCGTTCCGCCAATAATGCCCAGGGTTTCCGTAGAACCCTGTCGTTCCGCCAGTAAAGCCCAGGGGTTCCGCGGAACCCTATCGTTCTGACAGTAATGCCCAGGTGTTCCGCGGAACCCTATCGTTCCGGCAGTAATGCCTAGGGCTTCCGCGGAATCCTATCGTTCCGCCAATAATGCCCAGGGGTTCCGCGGAACCTTATCATCCGCCAGTAATGCCCAGGGGTTCAGCGGAACCCTATCGTTCCGCCAATAATGCCCAGTGGTTCCGCGGAACCCTATCGTTCCGCCAATAATGCCCAGGGTTTCCGAGGTACCCTATCGTTCCGCCAGTAATGCCCAGGTGTTCCGCGGAACCCTATCGTTCCGCCAGTAAAGCCCAGGGATTCCGCGGAACCCTATCGTTCCGCCAGTAATGCCCAGGGATTCCGCGGAACCCTATCGTTCTGCCAGTAATGCCCAGGGATTCTGCGGAACCCTATCATTCTGCCAGTAATGCCCAGGGGTTCCGAGGAACCCTATCGTTCCGCCAATAGTGCCCAGGGATTCCGCAAGAAGTTACACAAGTACTATGGTTGACAGTAATTTTTAATTCTCCTATGCAGATATGTGTGTTTAGCTACCTGCACAAAATCAATAACAAAACAACATAGTATGGATAAAAAAGGTCTCAAACTTAATAAAACAAACTTTTTCCATCAAAATGTTAATATTTTTATTAAGAGGAAAGATCAAGGTAATTTTAATTATTTAAAAAAAAATTTAATCCCTTCGAACATTTTCGAAATTTTGTCAGAAAATTTTGTTTTGATTTGAGTTAGCGGTTAAACAAATGTTACGACTGTTTTACAATGGAAAATGTAAACATTATATCACCCACTTTTTCCGGTGACAAACACATTAATTTAGAAATTCTCGCGAAAATCAAATAATTCTCGGATTTTAATGAAACTGTCAGGACTTATTCACAAATGAATGAAATTATCGTTTCACCTGAAATTATTTTGGAAATCTCAGGTAAATCTTGACCTAAATGCAGTGGTTTACAACCAGGGTTCCGCGGAACCCTAGCCTTCCGCCAGCAAAGCCCAGGGGTTCCGCGGAACCCTATCGTTCAGCCAGTAATGCTCAATTGCGAGACATTTACACCAACATTCCCGTCCACTTTCACAGTATAGAAAAATACTGATTGATAACATAACTATCCTACACCAAGAAAATCACAAATTCAAACTACAGATCCTCGAAGCAATCTTCATTAAAAAGTTGAAGCTGACACTGAATAGAATCAGCTACGAATACTGTAATAAAGTTCTAAAATGCCTATAAAAAGAACAGTTTTCAGGGCTTCATGCACGCATAACCATGGAATTCCAACATAAAAGAAATAAATCAATGATTGATAACTACTGACGTTTTAATGAACCCTAACGCATAACTGTCAGCCGTAGCATTTAAATGCAAAAAGGAAAATGGATAGCTACATGTCGTTTTAGGCTTACGAGTTGCACCCCTGATGATGATCTCGGAAAGAGGTGGAAAGTACTTGGGTAATAAAAGTGATTCGCACTATTACAGGGCATTTCTTACCTAATCTCTATCTATAAAAGGCAGGATGTGTGTGTGTGTGTGTGTGTGTGTGTGTGTGTGTGTGTGTGTGTGTGTGTGTGTGTAACGAATGCACGGCCGCAATTTTCGACGGATTTGCACCAAAATTTTCATGCACATGCTCCAAGTTAGCGGGAAGGCAACGTTGCATTTCCCAACTCCCATCGATAGTGAAAATAATCTCTTTTTCATGCTTCTACGGCAGTTTTCATGTAGTTTGCGGCCATTTTCTACTGGCCAGAGTGAGAGCCAATAGCTGACTGACACGAATGTTAACTAGCATGCTAACATTAAAAAAAAATCGATAGCTGCATTCGTCACAAGTGGGAAAAATTTTAATCTGCATGGCACTTTACTCCAATTGGCTCATTCACTTGCTTAAACTCAAAGTTGATTCTGATTCCGAAGAACTGGGTTGGGTGTGAAAAAGTATTTGTTGTTAACATTCTTTTTTTTCATTCGGTTTTTCCAGTTACGAGTCCTTTTTTTTAAAGCTGAACGTTTTTTGTTCATTTTGTTTAGTTCTTTTTTCGTAACAGATTTAATGTTTAGTATAGAGCTTAGAAAAAATTCACAGTGTGAGATAGGCAAGAAATAAGGCATGTAGCAATATCAGCACGGCAAAGGGGACTCATTTAAAGGCAAGGAAGGGCAAAAATATTTCAAGTGATAGCGATTGGTGTATGAGTCGTACAATTTTTGAATCAAGCACGGGCAACGCCGGGCCATGCTGCTAGTTCCATTATAATATACGAAAAAATATTCGTGAATATGAAAGGATTTTGCTAAAAACAAGCAGACTTAATATTTGTAATTTATTCAATCAGACACCTCTAAAACAGAATTTGTTGCCTAAATACACGAGCTCAAACACACACACACACACACACACACACACATATATATATATATATATATATATATAGTGTATTGGTGCAGCAGATCATTATTCAAACATATATTGTTAAATATAACAGACAATGAATGTCTATTATGTCTGAACATGAGCCGTTCTAATGTTCATATGGTTGTTTTAATCTCGGCTGAAAATTAAAAAAAATGTCCAACATTTGGATGTTTATGAGCAGCATAATAAAAAAATATCCAAATGTTGGACAATTTCTGTCTTTATTTTCAGCCGAAATTAAATAACCATACGAAGTTTATAACGGCTCATGATCAAGCATAATAGACATTCATTGTCTGTTATATTTAACAATACATATTTGAATATATATATATATATATATATATATATATATATATATATTGCTGTTTTTAAACTACAATTCTCCATGCCAAATTGACATTGCTAACCAAAACGCTCCTCTGTGGCTAAATCGGTAAAGCTCGTCAGGCTATATATATATATATATATATATATATATATATATATATATATATATATATCTGTTATCCATGTCATCTATTTGTCTCGCTTTCACAAACTCAATCTTTCTCTATTTGTTTTTTTTTCATTCTCGCTATTTCTCTGTTTCTTTATAACATGAATTTGTCTCTCTTTCTCATTTTCTCCATGCCACCTATTTGCCGCTCTTTCACACTCTCGCTCTTTCTGTTTTCCTCTATACCATCCATTTCTTTGTGTTTCGCTCTCATTCTCCCTTTTCTCTGTTCACCCTTTCACTGTTCAATCTGCTTATCTGTCTATCTTCCTTTCTCTCAAAGTCTATTTCTCTATCTATCTATCTTATATATATATATATATATATATATATATATATATATATATGTATGTATGTGAAAATATATAGAAAATAGGAAAGAACTGGTTAGGTAAATAATCCAAAGTTCTTCAGTATTTTTGTTATTATTTTTTTAAAAATAGTGCTCGATACAAAAGTAGAGCATAAATATATTATTTATTTAAAATATGATTCCAACACGGTACATAAGAGGTCTCATGTTTTTGGCTCTTGTTATGAAACATGAGACCTCTAGCGTGTTGAATCATATTTTTAAATAAATAAATTATATATATATATATATATATATATATATATATATATATATATATATATGCACATTGAACACGACAGACAACGTGCTTTTGATTTAGTTTTTTCTTATGTGATCTAATATTTTTTTCTTTTCAGATGATAAATTATATAAAACCTCTTCGAATGTTCTTTTTATCCGAGCACTTTCAGCTATACATTTAGCCATTTTCAAGGTTGAAATATTTTAATAGTTTGGTGTATGTATGTATTTATATAATATTTTAATTTTCAAAACACGGTCAAGATATTGTGTCCATGTTCATAGTAGATATTATTGAGTGTTTTTTTTTTCTTTTCATTAATATATATATATAAATATATATATATATATATATATGCACACTTATTCACTCACTCCCTAAGAACCAAATAACACAGACAGACACTAAACAGAGACACATCCCCTTACCAGGTCCAATAAAACTGTCAAACTGACCAGGGGAATTCAGAGAAGCATAGATCCATCCAGCTCTTATCTTAAATAACAACTTAAAAGAGACTGTTTGACCAACGCAAGGAATGTTAAAAGATTCATTTTAAAAAGATAAAAAAATAAAAAAAAACAATTGAAAACTACAGACAAAAGTTCATTTTCTCCATCAAGACATTCATTTCTGTAGTTTACTGCTACCAGCAAGTAGAAATATTTATTCTCCCGATGATGGCCATTTTGGCCGAAACTAGTCGAGGAATCTAAGTGAAATAATACAAAAAAAAAACAAAACAAAACAAAAAAAACGAAAGAATATTAATCTACAACCCGGTGTGTCTGAAGATTTTAATTTTTTAATATTTTTTTATTGTTCAATATATATATATATATATATATATATATATATATATATATATATATTACTGTGTGTGAGTGTGTGTGTGTGTGTGTGAAAGCATAATGAGGAAATGCCATGTTAGGTCCGATGATATTGCAGATACTTCTTTGTATTGTAGAAGTTGTGGAGAGACGTGATCGCCTACGTTCAGAAGAGATACGGAACATAAAGGAAGAAATATGTAAAATGCATGTCTGTAATATTATTTATGTATTAGTGTTTTGTCTTCTGGTTTGTTCCTTCAGGAATTCGGTCGTTCAAAGAATGGTAGTGCCAGTTATTTTGTACATTTTCTCACTGACATTAGCAGTTGTCAGTTGTGGACGGTAACTTGGGTAAAAGGCCAATAAAGATTCCACAGACAGTGATCTGGATGAGTAGACATGGTTTTGATTTCAAGTTTCTCGGCCGAAGGGCGGAGTCGGTTTAAATTTAGTACTGATATCAGTAGCCAGGCAGCTGTTTAACGGGGACTATTTATTTGATAGATTATTTAGACACATTTGAATTATTGACCAATCACAGAAGCGTATCTAACTTCATTCTCATCTTCTCTCTATTTATCTTCTCATTCTTCGATTACCCGCCAATTTCTTACTGATTCTTCCTCTCTCCATTTTCTGGTCACTCATTTTGACTTTCTCTGTCTATTTTCTCCTCCTCTATCATTTTATCCGTTTTTTTCCATACCATCTGTTTCTTTCAGTACTTCTCTCTATCTATCTTTTTCTCTTCATTCTTTCTTTTTTTTTTCGATCTAATTATATTTCTCTTCAACTGAGTCATATTTTGATCCTCATTAACATCTATCGGCCTCTCTTTCACACTCTCGCTCTTTCTCTGTTTAATCAGCCTTTCTTTCACACACTCACTCTTTCGCTGTTGCTCCATGCCATCTATTTGCCTCTCTTTCACACTATCCATTTGCCTCTGTTTCCCAATCTCGCTATTTCTCTGTTTCTCCATACTATCTATTTGTCTCTCTTTCCCAATCTCGCTATTTCTCTGTTTCTCCATACCATCTATTTGTCTCTCTTTCACAATCTCGCTCTTTCTCTGTTTCTCCATACCATCTATTAGTCTCTCTTTCACAAACACGCTCTTTCTCTATATATCCATGCCATCTATTTGTTTTTCTTTCCCAATCTCGCTCTTTCTCTGTTTCTCCATACCATCTATTTGCCTCTCTTTAACAATCTCGCTCTTCTCTGTTTCTCCATACGAGCAATTTGTCTCTCTTTCACAATCATGATATTTCTCTGTTTCTCCATACCATCTATTTGTCTATCTTTCACAATCACGCTCTTTCTCTGTTTCTCCATACCATCAATTTGTCTCTCTTTCAAAATCTCGCTCTTTCTCTGCTTCTCGATACCATCAATTTGTCTCTCTTTCACACTCTCCCTCTGTCTCTGTATATCCATGCCATCTATTTGCCTCTGTTTCACAATCACGCTCTTTCTCTGTTTCTCCATACGAGCAATTTGTCTCTCATTCACAATCTCAATGTTTCTCTGTTTCTCCATACCATCAATTTGTCTCTCTTTCACAATCTCGCTCTTTCTCTGTTTCTCCATACCATCTATTTGTCTCTCTTTCACAATCTCGCTCTTGCTCTGTTTCTCCATACCATCTATTTTTATCTCTTTCACAATCACGCTCTTTGTCTTTTTCTACATACCATCAATTTGTCAACCTTTCACAACCTCGCTCTTTCTCTGTTTCTCCATATCATCTATTTGTCTCTTTTTCACAATCTCGGTCTTTCTCTGTTTCTCCATACCATCTATTTGTCTCTTTTCACAATCTCGCTCTTTCTCTGTTTCTTCATACCATCAATTCGTTTCCATTTCACAACCTCCCTTTTTCTCTGTTTCTCCATACCATCTATTTGTCTCTTTTTCACAATCTCGCTCTTTCTCTGTTTCTTCATACCATCAATTTGTCTCCCTTTCACAACATCGCACTTTCTCTCTTTCTCCATACCATCTATTTGTCTCCCTTTCACAATCTCGCTCTTTCTCTGTTTCTCCATATCATCTATTTGTCTCTTTTTCACAATCTCGCTCTTTCACTGTTTCTTCATACCATCTATTTTTCTCTCTTTCCCAATCTCGCACGTTCTCTGTTTCTCCATACCATCTATTTGTCTCTCTTTCTTAATCTCGCTCTTTCTCTGTTTCTCCATATCGTCTATTTGTCTCTCTTTCCCAATCTCGCTCTTCTCTGTTTCTCCATACCATCTATTTGTCTCTCTTTCCCAATCTCGCTCTTTCTCTGTTTCTCCATATCATCTATTTGTCTCCCTTTCCCAATCTCGCTCTTTCTCTGTTTCTCCATACCATCTATTTGTCTCTCTTTCCCAATCTCGCTCTTTCTCTGTTTCTCCATATCATCTATTTGTCTCTCTTTCCCAATCTCGCTCTTTCTCTGTTTCTCCATACCATCTATTTGTCTCTCTTTCCCAATCTCGCTCTTTCTCTGTTTCTCCATATCATCTATTTGTCTCTTTTTCACAATCTCGCTGTTTCTCTGTTTCTTCATACCATCTATTTGTCTCTCTTTCCCAATCTCGCTCTTTCTCTGTTTCTCCATACCATCTATTTGTCTCTCTTTCCCAATCTCGCTCTTTCTCTGTTTCTCCATATCATCTATTTGTCTCTTTTTCACAATCTCGCTCTTTCTCTGTTTCTTCATACCATCTATTTGTCTCTCATTCCCAATCTCGCTCTTTCTCTGTTTTTCATACCATCTATTTGTCTCTTTTTCACAATCTCGCACTTTCTCTGTTTCTTCATACCATCTATTTGTCTCTCTTTCACAATCTCGCTCTTTCCCTTTTTCTCCATATCATCTATTTGTCTCTCTTTCACAATCTCGCTCTTTCTCTGTTTCTCCATACCATCTATTTGTCTCTCTTTCCCAATCTCGCTCTTTCTCTGTTTCTCCATATCATCTATTTGTCTCCCTTTCCCAATCTCGCTCTCTCTCTGTTTCTCCATACCATCTATTTGCCTCTATTTCCCAATCTCGCTCTTTCTCTGTTTCTCCATATCATCTATTTGTCTCCCTTTCCCAATCTCGCTCTCTCTCTGTTTCTCCATACCATCTATTTGCCTCTATTTCCCAATCTCGCTCTTTCTCTGTTTCTCCATATCATCTAATTGTCTCTCTTTCACAATCTCGCTCTTTCTCTGTTTCTCCATACCATCTATTTGTCTCTCTTTCCCAATCTCGCTCTTTCTCTGTTTCTCCATACCATCTATTTGTCTCTCTTTCACAATCTCGCTCTTTCTCTGTTTCTCCATAACATCTATTTGTCTCTCTTTCCCAAATCGCGCTCTTTATCTGTTTCTCCATATCATCTATTTGTCTCTTTTTCCCAATCTCGCTCTTTCTCTGTTTCTTCATACCATCTATTTGTCTCTCTTTCATTTTCCTAATCTCGCCCTCTTTCTCTGTTTCTCCATACCATCTATTTGTCTCTTTTCCCAATCTCGCTCTTTCTCTGTTTCTCCATATCATCTATTTGTCTCTATTTCAATCTCTTTCTCCTCTTTCTCTGTTTCTTCATACCATCTATTTGTCTCTTTTCACAATCTCGCAATCTTCTTTCTCTGTTTCTTCCTTACCATCTATTTGTCACTCTTTCCCAATCTCGCTCGTTCTCTGTTTCTCCATATCATCTATTTGTCTCTTTTTCACAATCTCGCTCTTTCTCTGTTTCTTCATACCATCTATTTGTCTCTTTTTCACAATCTCGCTCTTTCTCTGTTTCTCCATACCATCTATTTGTCTCTCTTTCCCAATATCACTCTTTCTCTGTTTCTCCATATCATCTATTTGTTTCTTTTTCACAATCTCGCTCTTTCTCTGTTTCTTCATACCATCTATTTGTCTCTTTTTCACAATCTCGCTTTTCTCTGTTTCTCCATATCATCTATTTGTCTCCCTTTCCCAATCTTGCTCTTTCTCTGCTTCTCCATACCAACTATTTGTCTCTCTTTCCCAATCTCACTCTTTCTCTGTTTCTCCATATCATCTATTTGTCTCCCTTTCCCAATCTGTTTGCCTTTCTCTGTTTCTCCATACCATCTATTTGTCTCTCTTTTCCCAATCTCGCTCTTTTCTGTTTCTCCATATCATCTATTTTCTCCCTTTCCCAATCTCGCTCTTTCTCTGTTTCTCCAAACCATCTATTTGTCTCTCTTTCCCAATCTCTCTTTCTCTGTTTCTCCATACCATCTATTTGTCTCCTTTCCCAATCTCGCTCTTTCTCTGTTTCTCCATACCATCTATTTGTCTGTTTTCCCAATCTCGCTCTTTTCTCTGTTTCTTCCATACCATCAATTTGTCTCCCTTTCCCAATCTCGCTTTTCTCTGTTTCTCCACATCTGTTTGTCTCTCTTTCCAATCTCGCTCTTTCACTTTTTCTCCATACCATCTATTTCTCTCTCTCTTTCCCAATCTCGCTCTTTCTCTGTTTCTCCACCATCTATTTCTCTCTTTCCCAATCTCGCTCTTTCCTCTGTTTCTCCCTTACCATCTATTTCTCTCTCTTTCCCATCTCGCTCTGTTTCTCTACCATCTATTTCTCTCTCTTTCCCAATCTCGCTCTTTCTCTGTTTCTCCCATTCATCTTTTGTCTCCTTCCCAATCTCGCTCTTTCACTGTTTCTCCATACCATCTATTTTCTCTCTTTCCCAATCTCGCTCTTTCTCTGTTTCTCCATACCATCTATTTCTCTCTTTCCCCAATCTCGCTCTTCTCTGTTTCTCCATACATCTATTTGTCTCTCTTTCCCAATCTCGCTCTTTCTCTGTTTTCCCATACCATCTGTTTCTCTCTCTTTTCCCAATCTCGCTCTTTCTCTGTTTCTCCCATACCATCTATTTCATCTCTCTTTCCCCAATCTCGCTCTTTATCTGTTTTTCTCCTTACTCTGTTACCATCTATTTCTCTCTCTATCCCAATCTCGCTCTTTCTCTGTTTCTCCATACCATCTATTTCTCTCTCTTTCCCAATCTCGCTCTTTCTCTGTTTCTCCATATCATCTATTTGTCTCCCTTTCCCAATCTCGCTCTTTCTCTGTTTCTCCATACCATCTATTTGTCTCTCTTTCCCAATCTCGCTCTTTCTCTGTTTCTCCATATCATCTATTTCTCTCTCTATCCCAATCTCGCTCTTTCTCTGTTTCTCCATACCATCTATTTGTCTCTCTTTCCCAATCTCGCTCTTTCTCTGTTTCTCCATATTATCTGTTTGTCTCTCTTTCCCAATCTCGCTCTTTCTCTGTTTCTCCATACCATCTATTTCTCTCTCTTTCCCAATCTCGCTCTTTCTCTGTTTCTCCATATTATCTGTTTGTCTCCCTTTCCCAATCTCGCTCTTACTCTGTTTCTCCATACCATCTATTTCTCTCTCTTTCCCAATCTCGCTCTTTCTCTGTTTCTCCATATCATCTATTTGTCTCTCTTTCCCAATCTCGCTCTTTCTCTGTTTCTCCATATCATCTATTTGTCTCTTTTTCCCAATCTCGCTCTTTTCTGTTTCTCCATATCATCTATTTGTCTCTTTTCCCAATCTCGCTCTTTTCTCTGTTTCTCCATATCATCTATTTGTCTCTCTTTTCCCAATCTTGCTCTTTCTCTGTTTCTCCATATCATCTATTTCTCTCTTTCCCAATCTCGCTCTTTCTCTGTTTCTCCATATCATCTATTTGTCTCTTTCCCAATCTCCTTTCTTTTCTCTGTTTCCTCCATTTGTCATCTTTATTTGTCTCTCTTTTCTCAAATCTCTATTTCTCTCTTTCTCTGTTTCTTCCATATCATCTATTTGTCTCTTTTTCACAATCTCGCTCTTTCTCTGTTTCTCAATATCATCTATTTGTCTCCCTTTCCCAATCTCGCTCTTTCTCTGTTTCTCCATATTATCTGTTTGTCTCCCTTTCCCAATCTTGCTCTTTCTCTGTTTCTCCATATTATCTATTTCTCTCTCTTTCCCAATCTCGCTCTTTCTCTGTTTCTCAATATCATCTATTTGTCTCTCTTTCCCAATCTCGCCTTTCTCTGTTTCTCATA